TGATTTCTCGCAATTATAATTTGAATTTTCTATTGAATGAATCAAGATTGTTTTCTATTTAAAAGGAGATTTATCGAAATGTTTCATGGTCTTTTAGTATATATGATCTTGATAATTATGTTTTGAAACTTTATGTAAATCAAAATTCTTCATCATGATTCTCTCGTTTTATAAAAGAGGAGATCTTCTATGTGAATCATAAGATTTTATATGTATGAATTGAGATTTTGTTCTCCTACAATTCTTTTTGCTATTAACTAACAAGAAACTTGTTCTTGTAAACTATGATATGCTACTTGATATCTTGATAATTTATAACTTAAGTTTTCTCTTTGAATCAAAATTGTTTCCTATCATGCTTTCTATTTACAAAAGAAGAAATTTGTCAAAAATGATATATCTTTTGACATTCATTTTTCATCTTTGTTCTTTATCTTTATCATGATTTGAAGATTATAGTAAAGGGAAATGAACTACATGATTGTATTGTTATTCCCTTCTAGTTGGCAATGACATAGGGGGAGCAAATTTTGCTAGTTTGCTAGCTAGCTTGCATACTTCAAGAAGAAGCAAAAGTGCTATCTTGCAAATCTCAAAGGAAGCAATATGTGCCAAGTTACACATTTCGAAAAGAGGCAAAATAGTCCATCTTGCACATCTTTTTGCTAACCTTTTATGTGTAAAAGTTGATATCTTGCATACTATAAATTTGCATACCAAATGTGCAATCTTGCTTATCTCAAGATACAAAACATGCTAACTTGCACTTTGCAATGGAAGCAAAATTGCTAGCTCAAACATTGCAAAGGAAGTAAAAATTTGCTTGCTTGCAACTTGCATATTTCAAGAAGCAAGAGTTGCGTTCTTGAACATTTCTAATTTGCTAGCTAGCATGATGCAGAACTTGCTATCTTGAACATTACAAAGAAATGCTATCTTACACATCGCAAAGAAAAGCAAATATGCCAACTTACACATCTTTAAATTTACTAGCTTGTATGTTGTAAAACTTTCATATCTACAACTTGATAGCTTGAATGTTCTAAGCACGATATAACACTTGCTAAATTTTCAAGCTTACAACTTGCATGATGATAAAAATGGATATTATATTTTTCATACAATGAGTTGAATTTGTGTATCACAAACACTTGATTGTAGTACTTCTCCTTTTTGTTGATGACAAAGGGAGAGAAGTATGATCATGTTATGCATGATGACGTGTTGCAAATATTCATGATGAATAATTGCAATGACTTGAATTCAGTTTGAATTCAAGGTTCTATCAATATGGCATATTGCCATATTGATAGGGGGAGTTTATTTAAACTCCGGGAGTTAAGGCTAATTCCGTCGTCGATTGATTGTCATCATCAAAAAGGGGGAGATTATTGAATCTTGAATTTTGATGATGAAACCAATCAATATGTGTTTATGTTTTAATCTACGTTTTTGAGTGACGTAGGATGCTTCGATCAGGATGAGATAATTATAGCAGGAAAATCATGTTGTGCCAGAGGAACATGTCAAAAGATTGGACGTCGGGCCGGTGGATCGGTCGACGTATCGATAGAAGGCTTCTGGCCGTGGATTCGGGCATCGAGCCAAGAAGAGCAGAGATTGTGCCAAGGATATTGGAGTTACAGAGTCAACTGGGCAATTGGGCAATTGGTCGCAAGAGAGGACGATGTGCCGAAGAATCAGACGAAGTTTTGTTTTAATTGCTTAGGATTAATTGTCTCGATCAAAGTTTTGTTTTAAGTATGCAGGATTAACTACGATAGCTTGAAAACATAAAGCAAGTCTACCAGAGTCAAGTTCAATAGGTGTTCGAGAGTCCGCCGAGAGTCCGAAGATTCATCGAAAGTGCTGCAGGAACCAACCGAGAAAGAATCGGGGACTTGCCGAAGTTTTCGAAAGTCCATTGGAGAGATCATCGGAGGTTCACGGAGATTACTAAGAAGGTTCGGCTACTTGCCAAAGACTCGCTGAAGTCGCCACAAGACCGGGAGCCTGCTGGGAGTCCGCCGAAAGAAATCCGAGGGTGTATTGGAAGTCCACCGGAAGTTCGCCGGAAAGCTCGCCGGAAGGAAACTCGACATTGCCGGTTAAAAACTTGCTTAGGACTATATTTAATTTCATAGTTTACATATAATTAGGATTAGGATTAAGAGTTAATCCTATAATCTGGTTATGGGCCAACTGGACCCAAATTTGGACTGGTTTAGGCCAAGTTTGGAGCCCAACCAGTGATCTGAAAAGTCCAGGCGGTGGCACCGGCGGACTGGGCGGTGGCACCGCCCAGCACCTGAGAGGTTCGGCGGTGGGACCATCGGACTGGGCGGTAGCACCGCCAGTACACTGTCAGTGTCAAACACTGACAGGCGGTGGCACCGCCAGCACCGGGAAACCCAAAAGCAATTCAAATTTGAAGCCCAAATTTGAATCCTCTTGGGGCCTATAAATGCCCCTCAATTCTCAGTAGAGAATACAACCTTTGAGAAGTTAGAAATTGAGAAAAAGCCTTAGCAAAGTATTTAGCAAGTCTTATTTTCAATAGCTTAAGTGTTCACCACCCTCTTTCTCTTTGAAAATCTGTAAGAGTGTGAACCACTTGTAAAAGGTTGTAAGAGGGGTATTTATCCTTCCCCTTCAAAGTGATTTACTAATAGAAGTTGGGAGCCTCATTGAAGAAGGCTTTGCAAGTGGATGTAGGTCATTTTGACCGAACCACTTTAAATTGGTGTGTTCCTTGAATGTGTGAGTGTTTACCTTTCTTAAACCGTTATTTATATAGCAACGAGCTTTTGGTTTTTATCTTCTCACTTTACTCGAGCTACTTTCACCAAGTCATTCATTGTCGAATCGAAATCTCTACGCATTTACAAAATCATTTTCAAACTTATGAGTTTTAATCCACTGCACTAATTCACCCCCCCCTCTTAGTGTCGCTCCGATCCTAACAAAAAGGACTTTTATAATATTTGTATCAAAATTTGTGTCTTGATAATGTTCATAAACTTACATATAATACTTTTTGAGATAAGAAGTGTGCTAAGTCTAAGGCATGTTCAACCCGCCTAGGGTTTGGAGTTGATAAGTTCCTGGTTGAACTTCCTCCAAGATTCGATATGGCTCTTCCCAATTCAACACCAACTTTCCCTTGGTATGATTTGGATCACTAACTTCAACCCTCTGAAAGATCAAGTCTTCCACCTTTAGCCATTGGTGTTGAACCCATTTATTAAAGGATTTGAACATAGATCTTTCATTAAGTTTATGAGATGGGCCCTTCCTTTGACTTCATCAATTAAGTCAAGATTCACTCAAAGTTCAACATTTGACACCCCCTTGTTATAATTTTAGGTTTAGATAGTTGGTAGTTAAGGCTTAGTAGGAACTATAGCTTTGGTTCCATATGCTAAGCAAAAAGGTAATTCTTCTATGGAAACCTTTGGTGCACTTCAAGAGATCTCATCCACTTAGGTGCCTCTGACCTCGGCCATCCTTATTTTCAAATCTTCAAAAATGACTCTATTGGTGACTTTGGCTTAAACTTGGTATTATTGAAATTACTTTTCGTTGTTGATGAATATAATTCGTTGGATGCCAAATTGGGAGATTATACTTTTTATAAATGAACCCTTTGACTTACCTATGAGATGGAGGCCAAAGGTCGGCTTTGGCCCACTTAGTTAAATAGTCAACTCCAACTACTAAGATACTTTCTTTGGCCTAAGGCGGGAGAGAATGGTCATAAAATGTCCAACCTCCATATGGCAAAAGGCGATGTCGAGTACAAGGGAGTCAGCTCGGTTGAGGGGAATCTCTATATTCAAGCATTGCATTGACACTACAACAGTGTACATACTCCAGAGCATCCTACTTAAGGGTCGGACAATAATATTTTTGCTATAGAATTTTGAAGGTAATAGATTATGCTCCGATATATTCTCCACGTGTTCTCTCATGGACTTCATATGACACTCAAGCAACCTCCTTAGGGTGAAGGCAATACAGGAGAGGCTATGTTATAGATCATTTGTAGAGTACATCATTTATCATTTATCATGCTATACCATGCTTTTAAACCATGCTTGTTGTCTCTGGAGCCGTTATTCTTCTTTCGGAGATCCGAAAAAACTCATGTTTTGAGGTACCATTAGATATTCCCCATCCAAATGTCTCGAGTGATGTCACTACCATCTCACTTTTGTTGATCCAAGTAGAATTTCAATAATTGAGATAGAGTTAGCCATTATATTATAGTCCCGAGGAATCTGTTCAATACTAAATAAAGGGATGTCAGCTACTATTTGCTTTGTCTTTGCTAGATATGCGCTATAGTGGGATCATGAGCTTTATATAGTTCATTTACTTAGTTGATGACCAATTGAGAGTCGTAAACTTTTATATTTATCACATTTATTTCTTTACTAAGACGAAGCCCCATTTGTAAAGCTTTATATTCAGTTTTATTGTTAGTCACTTTCAAGTCAAATCAAAGTACATATTTATAAGCTGCTCCACTACAAAGTTTGCTAAGACATAGGCTCAGTGGAGGAGTTTTCTATAATAGTCATCTGCACTACAAAGTTTGCTAAGACCTACGCCTTGATAATTATCTCCATTACAAAGTTTTTCTATAATAGTCATCTCCACTACAAAGTTTGCTAACACCTACGCCTTGATAATTATCTCCATTACAAAGTTTGTCAAGGCCTACGCCTTGATGGCAGTCTGCAAATGATGGGATATGTCGAATTTATTGAGTTTCACCAACATTTAAATAGCCTACTGAAGCCAACATTTCAAGAGCCTACTGTAGCATTTGGTTTTGAAAGGATCTATCGTATCGACTGATTTATCATAAAGAGGATGTGGTGTGCTTGAAAATATGATCAAGCTATAATTGTGATGATAGGATCTTAGTTAGAAAGAGGTAATATCTTGGCAGATAAATTATCACCTCATACAATAAACAAATAAACAAAATCATATGCTCAGATTGTTAAGAGCCATATTTATAATTCAGATATCCAACGCAAAAGAACATGGATTATAAAACATTCGAATTATTGACACCAAAATAGCTTGGCATGTACTCAGGAAAGGCTAAACACCACAATATCCACTGAAGGATAAGGATATTTTGTCCTCCTGCCATCATATGAGAAGTAATGCCAATTCAATAAATACCACTGATTTTGTCCTCAGGAATTATTGACACTGATTTATCATAAGGATAAGGATAAACACCACAATATCCACTGAAGGATAAGGATATTTTGTCCTCCTGCCATCATATGAGAAGTAATGCCAATTCAATAAATAAATATTGGAGTACATTTATCTGAAGCCCTCAGATCTGTTCTTGTGAGAGGACAAAAGAAAAGTTCAGTCTTGTGGAATAGGCCGGGTGTTATTCCAAAGCCATTCACGAGCCCCACCATCCAACATAGGTGAAACCTGTGGAAAGACAAAAAAAAACTTCATCAAAAGTTTACAATGGTCACTCACCAGACTTGGGAGTTCCACGGCAAAGAGAATATGATGATTGACTAGTTCTTGACCATGGTAAAAGAGCAACTAATTAATTCTAGGGATGTGGCATCTTCAAAAATGCTATAAACAAAGTAATTGGCCCTGCACAGATGAAATGTGTGGTCACAGGTTTCTTGCAATGGGCATGACTTTCTGGCATGATGTCTACTGTTATAAGTTTTTCTACCGCACACACCATACAATTGTTTTTATTTAGTGAAATGGATGAAATTATGATAAACTGTAGATGAAAATAAAATAGACCTATAATGTTCCATAAAGTTGTTCTCACATTAAGACCATGGAATTGACTTATTTCTAGAGATAAAGTATATTATTGCAATCATCAGGAGAAAGATGTCAATTCCATGTGATTTAGTGGTCAAGCAGATTTTCCAAGGTCTTGTATATGGTATCAGAATACTTGATATGGTTCGTTTGGCTAACAGATCGTGGGCTAGGTTCTTAGAGTTGTTTCAGCTCAATGAGACGAGTACACTTGTGTGTATGATAGCAGCATGGTGCAGGATTAGTGCCCTAACAAGGACAATACATGATGGAAATCGAGACACTTTCTGATTTTAGACTAGGCATGAATTCTGATTTTTACTAGGTGTAGAAAGAAGAAATGACAACTTGAACTGCTTTCAATTGGTGAAAATTTGGATTTTGATATAATTGAACATGTTTTCATTTTACTCTAGTTAATTTTTTTCTTTGAAAACATTTTAGTACTGAAAAGGGTTTCATTTTAAAAAATCATAAGTTGTCACATGACAAATAATTTAGTTTCCTAACTTGCTCAAGGAGAAGAAAATGAAACCAATGAAGAAAGAAAAATGAAAGATAACAAATTTTGGGTTTCTGTAATAATGACAAATTTTTTATTGAAGATTCAGTCTCTATAAGGAAGGTCCATCATGGCTGAAAAATTTACAAATAAGGCAAAATATTCATCAAAATAAATATATAAAATCATCTTCGTCAAAGAAGGATACAATAAATAATTGATGTCTTCAAATAATTTTGTTAACTGTAATCTCACAATTATATTCTTTCCTTATTTTTGTATTCTTTTATCTTCTTATAGTTGGGAGTCAATGAAGAAAGGGATTGTGACTACGACATCAGTGAATGAATGCATGTTTCTTTTCATGACATGTGATGTGTTGAGCAGTGATTTAAAAAGCGCTAGGCGCCAAGGTCCACAAACGCCCGAGGCACTAGGCGCTCGCCCGAGCGAAGCGAGACGCTAAATTATAAAAATATATAATATAATTATTTAAAATTTTAAATAAAAATATGCTATTAAATTAAGAAAATCTAAGATACAAAATCACAATGTCACATTAACAAAAAGTTTCAAAATTCAAAACATTAAAATCAAAATTTCAAATAATTTTAAATAAATAATTTCAAATAAAAAAAATTAACAACATTAAAATCAAAATAATATATTATTAATCTATTAACAGAAAATTAATCATTTCAAAATTCAAATAAACTTAATATTAAGAGTATACAGAGCCTGATGGAGAAACGAGGAAGCAGCGGCGAGCGGCAGTGGCGAGCGGCGGCAGTAGTAGCGGCGAGCGGCGACAGCGGCAGCGGCAGCGGCAGCGGGAAAGGAAGG